CTCAGACTTGTGGGGTCCAAACAAAGTTCCCTCCAAGAGTGGTGCTAGGTATTTTATGACTTTGATTGATAATTACTCAAGTATGGTGTGGGTGTATTTTCTGAAAACAAAAGATAAGGCATTTCTGACATTTGTTAAATGGAAGACGATAGTTAAGAGGCAAACAGAAAGGAAAGTTAAGCTTCTTCAAACTGACAATGGGTTGTAATTTTGTAATTCTGAGTTCGATAATTTCTACAGCAGAGAAGACATAGTGAGACACCACACTTTTGTCTGAACACCATAACAAAATGGTGTTGCAGAACGTATGAACAAAACGCTTTGTGATAGGGCACGAAACATGCTTTCACACTCATGTGTTAGCAAGGATTTTTGGGCTGAAGCAATCAATACAGCTTGTTATTTGGTCAATAGATCTCCATCCACAGCTATTGAGTTCAAAACTCCTTTTGAGGTATGGTCCGGTTCGCCTGCTGATTATTCAAATTTAAGGATATTTGGTTATCCTGCTTATGCTCATGTGAGGGATGGAAAACTTGAGCCGAGGGCAAAGAAATGCATATTTCTATGATATGCAACTGGAGTGAAAGGTTATAGGTTGTGGTGCACAGATCAAAAGATTTCAGGGCTAATTATTAGTAGGGATGTAACATTCAATGAATCTGCCTCACTGGACAGTTAGAGGGAGAATGCAATAGTAGAAACAGATCGCGGTGTCAGTGACCGCATAGAGCTAGAAATTGAATCTCCTCTAATTCAGCCTAGTAGTTCTAAAGTAGAGGAAGTGGAGGAGGTGCAAAATATTGATCAAGATGATAATATTGATGCACCTGCGCAACAACAACCATATAGCATTGCAACAGGCAAAGAGAAGAGAATGATCAACCGACCGCAAAGGTTTATAAACGTAGTTGATAGGAATCTTCTTGGATATACGAATCCTGTGGGATTTGCTTTGGCAGTTGCAGAGACTGTTGATGCGTTTGAGTGTTATAGCTATCTAGAAGCTATTCCGGGTACAGAACCAAATCGACGGATTAGTGCTATGGTTGAAGAGATTGAGTCTCTTAACAAGTTTAGGCATTGCCTAGACTTGGTTGATGTTTGCGACAATGGGTAGAGCCCTTGCCAGGGCTGAAGGCAAAGTAGAGAGACGTTGTTCATGTTGATGAAGAGAATTCAAGCCAGGGGGGAGATTTGTTGTTTTATGGCTTGAATTATTTCTTTGTATTTTTAGGAAACCCATAATTCCTATCGATTTAGGAAAATCCATTGTCCTAATAGATTTGGGAAAGGAAAAGCTATTGTTCTTGTCAAATTGGGAAATCTTTCTCTTATAGGTTTGAGACTATTTGGGATCTATATATATGGGTTGTAATTGGGGATTCTATAAATTGTATTGTACTTTTCTTTTCATTCATAGTGGAAAACTCTCTCTGCTTTTGCCCCAAGGATTAGGCTTAGCCGAACCTCGTTAAATTCTTGTGTTGATTTTTCTTCTCTATTTACTTTTGTGTGTGATTGTGTGCTAGTTAACCCACGATCTTCCGCAACAATATATTTAAACTTCTAGAATTTTACAGTCAGTCAAAATACTAGTAGAATGCTAGATACGGATTCAAAGATTTGAAAATAGCGGGAGCACAACATCAAATAAAAATTTGAGTAATAATTGAATCAACGCAGAACACTAAAAGGTAAGATGTCCCCCCCCCCCCCCCCTTCCTGGGATAGCAATGGGACGGTGCGGATGCAGTTGCGGGGCGGGGCGGATTTAGACATATGTGGGGTGGTGAGGGTTTGTATATATGCAGGTGCAGGACGGTGCAGATTAAAATAAAATAAATTTAATTTTTTGGGGGTGCGGGTGTGAGTTTAACATTTTTACGAAATTACAACTTTTTAAGTTTTTTGGTTGTTGGTATGGAATTTATTCTCACTTCTTTTTTTATTTGTGATGGATAAATTAATAGGATCTTTACTAATATGAACAAAATGCTTTAATTTTTCTGACAAGTTGACTTTTTTAGTAAAGAGCTTTTGTAATTTGTTGTTATTATCTCCCTTCTGTACAGGTTTTGTAATTTGCTTTTTTTGCCTTCCTACATGGTTTATCTGTTACTATTTTATATTCCTTTTCTTAATAAAATTATACTTCTTCAAAATATAACCAGTGAAAAGACTATGTGTTTGATATTTGAGGATGGAAAATTTAAAATCTGACTGAGAAATTTTTCATGTTAGCCCTCATTTTCTCACTTGAAATAAATTGAGATTGATAATATCATAATTAAATTATGGTGCTCAATACTCACTTTGAATGCTTGATTCTAAATTTAAATGATTACTGTTTAAGTTATGCATGCTTATAATTGATAAGCAAAAATACAAATGAAAGAAGAAAAAAATTTGCAGGGTGGGGTAGTGCGGGTGGACGCGAGTATAGTGCGGGGCAAGTGAATGCGGGTTAAAAGAGCACTATGCGGGGCGGAATAGGACGGGTTGAGATTTTACAGGTTAAGATAGAACCCGCCCCGCTTGTCATCCCTATCCCTCACCCTCCAAAATTGATCAATGCTACTGTATAGCTTTGAGTCTTATATATATATATATATATATATATATTATTTTATTTCGAAGATACTGAAGGCGTGCCACTTGCCGTGGCCAATTCTTCTTGAATTTCATCCCCGGGCACACACACACCAAAGAAAAAACCAAGAAAAAGTAAATAAAATTAACCAAAAGAAAAGGAAGACAAAAGTAGTGGCAGCTGAGACTATTTCCTTGAGCAAAAGAATTGTCGTTAAAATTTGAATGAAGATTTTGAATCCATCTATATATTTATGCAGAATAGTTCATGATTGGACAAAGTATTTGTTATTGCATGTAGAAGCCCCACATAGTTGAAACTTTATTACTAAAAGGCGTTGTACTATGACTAATTACCTCAGGCGAAAGAAAAAAAAGGATTTTTTTCCTCCTTATGATTATTTTTTTGCAACTCCTGAATTTGACCACCATCATACCCATCCAAAAAATGACTGACTGACCAGATCTAGTCACATAAAGTCTAATAAGCAAGGCCTTTTATTTTTATTTTTATTTTATATATCTATCTTTATTGTATTTTTTAATATGTATATATATATATGAGCATCTAATTCAAAATGATAAAATATGGGTAAGTACATTAAATATTCATGTAATATAACTCATTTAGGAAGACAAGCATCGAGCAATGGTAAAATTATTTTCGTGTGACTAATATGTTATAGGTTCGAACCGTGAAAGCAATGGTGGAACTAGAATTTTTACTAAGGGGTATCAAAATATAAAAATTAAATATACACGAAATTAAGGAGATTCAACACATAATATATATACATAAAAAAGTTTTTAAACATATTTACACAATGTTATTTTTCGGCGAAGACACCCCTTGGATGCATGTGGCTCCGCCATTACATGGAAGCAGTCACTAATGCTTATATTAGGGTAGATTGTCTACAATACCTCTTGAGGTGTAGCCTTTTCCTAAATCCTACATAAATGCTGGAAGCTTTGTGCACCTAGCTGCCCTTTAATATAACTCACTTATATATACATTCCTTATATTTTAAAATTAAACACTCTTATACAGTCAAATCTTTCCATAACAGTCTCGTTTGTTTCGATATTTTTTGGCTGTTATAGTGAAGTGCTATTATAGAGAATATATATTATAACATGATATAAATATTGGTTCCGAAAAAATTTAATTTTTATAACAAATGTTTATTATATAGAAATATTATTATAACGAGGTCTGAGAAAATATAATGACAAGTTACAAACGTACCCTTTTAATAGTGGAGGTTGGGAATAATTGTATGGTGAAACATCAACGTGGAGTCGGCTAAAGGAGAAGAAGCGAAGACCGAGTCTTATGACTAAGCGCCAGTTCACTACTAACTACATACACTAAGGACTAAAGCAGTAGTATGAATTTTGAGTTTAATTAATGCTTAAGAAAACAATTGAAAATAGAAAGCAGCCAGCCAGTCATCCACTGCCAAGAAAATTAAACGTGTTTGACCATTTAATATCATTTGGTCTTACTAACCCTTTTTAAAATGGAGGACCAGCTGATGGCGAATATGGCATTTTCCCACTCTCGTTCCAATGCGTATAAACCAATCGACCGATCAATTTTATATTTTGTCCTTTTTCATTTTCTTGTTATTTTTATCTTAAGCGCCAAACAAAAGCTAGCACAAATTATTGAGGGTGTGTTCAATAGTATGACAAGGTTTACTAGTGAATGTTTTTACAATTTTAGTATTCCTTCGATTTTAATTTATATGGCACTATTTTCTTTTTAAGTTGTGCTAGAAATGATATCTTTCTTTTTTTTAGGAATAATTTACCTTTTAACCTTCTCATTTTGCTCTTAATCCTATGATTTTATAGCCATACAAATCTCATGTTGTATTAAAATCACAATTATCAAAAAAATTCTTTTTTTATTAAACTTTATGGTCAATCAAATGGTTCATATAAAATAAAAAAACGGATAAGTAATAATACAAAAGAAACCGTTTGGACATAAGAATTTTTTCCCTTTTTCCGAATTTTTTTTTTTTTTTTTTACGAAATCAGTGTTTGGCCATAAAATTTTCAATTTTTATTTGAAGATGAATTTTGGAATTTTTCGAAAATTTGAAAAACTCCAAAAAACTGTTTTCTCAAAATTTTCACTCAGATCACTCCCAAAAATTCAAAAAAACCCAAAATTTTATTTATGTCCAAACACATTTCTAATTTTCAAATACCATTTTCACTTAAAGTTTACAATTTTTATATCCAAACGCCCACTATAATGTGATGTCTAAGAACAAGTTTTGTCTTCGTTTTTCCACCGCCACTTGCATGGCGCGTTGGCGACTTATTCTTTCAAACAAGAACCAACGTAGCTAAGTAACGTTAATATAAATATCCCGCTGCACCCAAATTTACGTAGCAAACAAACTATAATCTGCAAATCAAAATCAAAGCAAAATTAAAGAAAGAAAGCAAAAATGCCTTGTGCAATAGCATTAACAAACTCTCCAATTTTCTCACCATCACAACAAACACCAAAACTACTTTCGCCATTTTACTGTAAACTATCATCTGTATCATCACCAACAAATCGCAATTCGTTTTATGCATCGTCGTCTTTATTATCTCCATCACCAAAATCACCTTTATCACCGTTGACTTACAACAGAAGTCTCAGAGAAGAGGCGGAGAAGGAGGCGGCGGTGTGTTCCACGTCATCATTACCGTCGCCGACGATTTTGAAGAGGAAAAGACCGGCGAGGATTACGATTCCGATTGCATCTTTGAGATTAGAACAGGTTGATCAAACGCCGAGGGAAGAGAGTAGTAGGTTAGATGAAGTGGAAGTTGAAGGAGAAGGATACTCTGTGTATTGTAAAAGAGGGAAAAAGAGAGGTGATATGGAAGATCGGTATTCGGCCATAGTTGATGAATCTAAGGACGGCTCTAAACAGGTATAATACTTATTTGCTAGAAATGTTTGCTTATCTCTTACTACTTTATTTAGAGTTCACAATTTAAGACTTCTGAAAAAGGATTTAAGTTATATACACCGACAGTATAAAGATTTTCTGGTGCTTTGATCGATTGTATGTTAGTTATATTTTAATTAATGTTTATCTTGATGCTTTGATCGATTGTATGTTAGTTATCATATATGACCTGATTGTGTAGTACATATAATTTAAACTCTTTGAAGAATAAGTTATCACTTATGCCTATATGTATTGATGGGTATCACAATCTTCAATTGAGAATTCCAATATTGGGTAGTGAATTTTGCCTAAAGATGGGTATACAGGGTAGTTTTTGAATGTTGATAGCTTGCTTGAAATGAAATAGGTCCAAATAGAGCTGAATTCATATTGCAAAAACTTGTCCCAAAGTTTGTCATTTATAAGATTAAATTAAACGGTTAAACAACACGATTCAAAATGAATAAATAGAAATTCAACTCCATTAAACAAAATTTATTGAAGTGTTACCCTCTCATCTAAAAGCTTAAAGTGTTAGAGAGAATATACTTTTATTTACTTAATCATGTCTTCAATAGAGTTAATTAACTCAATTACTGCTTTGTTGCATATAATAAGCATAGATAAAGAAAATTTGATGAACTGGTGTAATACTTACAAAAAGCAATATTCCCTACTGAATTAGATATATATATTTAACGTGATATATTCTTATGCTGAGTGTTATTTACCCTTATTTTTTAGGCCTTTTTTGGTGTATTTGATGGACATGGGGGAGCAAAAGCTGCAGAGTTTGCAGCAAAGAATTTAGGCAGGAACATTATAAATGAAGTAGCGTTAAGGAGTGAAGACGGAGTTGAAGAGGCAGTTAAAGAGGGTTACCTCACTACAGATACAGACTTCCTAAAGCTAAATACAAATGGAGGAAGTTGTTGTGTGACAGCACTGATACAAAATGGACAACTTATTGTATCAAATGCCGGTGATTGTCGCGCTGTATTGAGCAGAGGAGGCGTAGCAGAGGCGCTCACAGTCGATCACCGCCCTTCTAGGCAAGATGAAATGGAAAGAATTCAAAGCCTGGTAAGAAACAGTGACTATTTTTCAAGAATATTAATCCTGGAAATGCTGTGAAGAGGAATTATTCAAAACCTTCTATGTTTTGTACTTACGTGTTTTTGAAAATTTTAATTTGCAGGGTGGTTATGTAGATTGTTGTCGAGGTGTGTGGAGAATTCAAGGATCTTTAGCTGTGTCAAGAGGAATAGGAGATTCTCATCTTAAAAGATGGGTAATAGCTGAACCAGAGACAAAAATATTGACTATTGAACCAGAATGTGAATTCTTGATCCTTGCCTCTGATGGACTTTGGGAAAAGGTAATTGCTGAAAAAAAAAGTCACTTAATTTGAATGGTAGAACTAGAATGTACCTTTTGAAGTTGTGAATAAAGGGCACTCAGGTGCATAAAGTATCATGCGTTTACACAAGGTACGGGGAAGGACCGTCAAGGGAATGGCCGTATCCCTAGGGGTGTGATGTGGACAGCCTACCCTAATGCTTTCATGGTCGGAACTCGTGACTTGTAGGTCACACGGAGATAATTCTACCGTTGCTCCAAGGTTCCCTTCATCTTTTGTAGACAGTCTACCCTAATGCTAACATTAATGTATGCTTTCACGGCTCGAACTCGTGACCTGTAGGTCACACTGAAGATAACTTTACCGTTGCTCTAAGGCTTCCCTATCTTTTGAAGCTGTGAATAAATCCGAACTTCTTAAGTTTAAATTGTTTAAAGAAATTGGGAAATTGGGATGCTAAGTTTTCTTTGAATATTTTTTCAGGTTACTAATCAGGAGGCGGTGGAGTTAGCGCGACCTTTGTGCATAGGTGTTGATAACATACGACGATTATCTGCTTGCAAAAAGCTTATTGATTTGGCAGTAATGAGAGGATCATCTGATGATATAAGTACAATGGTCATTCAACTAGGCCAATTTGTCCAATAAACCAATGGTAGGAAGAATCTGTTTGAATGATTTGGTCACTTGGGGAAAATGGACTGCCTAAATAAAGGGGCAGCCCGGTGCACAAAGTATCCCGCGTTCACGAGAATCCGAAGAAGAACCACACTTCAAAGGGGTGTGATGCTGATTCCACGACTCAAAACCCGTGACCGAAAATTATTGGAAATTTTCAGTCTTAATCAAGCTTAATAGGACAGTTACTAGTGTTATATGTAATTTACTGGATAACTATAAATGCTAAGGTGTTAGAATTAGAGGGCAATTGTTGATGTTCATATGTGTGTTATCTACTAGATTTCTCGGATCATCTGAAGTCAAATTTTACTTGGATAGGCCTAACATGTTACTTGTTACACATTCTTTTCTTGGAAGCAAATTATTTAGGCTATAGAAGGCATGATTTTTCTGTATATTTTCCCACATTTCGGGATGACTTGTAAACCTTAATCATCAAATTTAGATATGAAATATTAGAATTTAATGACTTATGACCTTTTTGCTTTATTTTATTGACGGTTAAAGTCCCATTTTAAATATGAGTTTATTTTCAAGATGCTCTTATGAAAAATATTACCGTGACAAAGTTCTATATTTGTGAGAAGTAAATAGTTCACTATATAATTAGGTGCAAAAGCAAAATTGGAGGAAAATAAACAATGAGGAGAATAACACCAACTGAATTTGCTGAAATTTTGTTCATAAAACATTCCATCGAATCCTATGCCAAGGCAGATTAATTAAATGTTAAAAAGAAAAGGAAAAAATAAAACTTGTTAAGTCTATAAATGTTACGAACGATAAAATAATGTAACAAGAAATAGAAGACAAAAATAAAAATGTCATGAATAGAATTCTATGGCCTAATTTAGCTTGAGTCTGAGCGGCACGACGTTGGAGTGGTACACTCGTCAGGATCACAACAGCTTGTAGAGAGTTTTACTTTGTGGCTAAGTCATTTTCCTCCTATAAATAGAGGGGTCCTACCCCATTGTAAATCATCCCAAAATTCAATAAGAATTTCCTCTCTCTCTTTCTCTGTAATATTGTTCTTCTACTTTTATTGTTTTATTACACGTTATCAGCACGAGACTCTACCGTCTCAAGAAGCTCTTTGAGAAGATTAAGGTAATTTTTCTCCTCTTTTTAATTATGACTGATATTATGAAAAGAAAGTTCATTGCCCTTGAAATTTCGGGCAAGAACTATATGACATGAGTGTTGGATGCTGAAATCCATTTAGATGCAATCGGTCTTGGAGACGTCATTAAAGACAAAACTAAAGCATCCACCCAAAACTGTGCTAAGGCCCTGATTTTTTTTGCGTCATCACCTTGATGAAAGGTTGAAAATAGAATATCTCACAGTGAAAGATCCACTTGTTTTGTGGAATGGCTTAAAGGAAAGATATGACAACTTAAAGTTGGTCACTCTTCCACAAGCACGATATGATTGGGCTCATCTGAGGCTCCAAGACTTTAAGTCTGTTTCTGAATATAATTCTGCAATGTTCAGAATTACTTCTAAATTGAAACTTTGTGGAGATACTATCACTGATTATGATATGCTTGAAAAAACGTTCACAACGTTTCATGCCTCCAATATGGTCTTGCAACAGCAATACAAAGAGAAAGGTTTCAAGAAGTACTCTGAGTTGATTTCTCTTCTCCTTGTGGTTGAGCGAAATAACGACTTGCTCATGAGAAATCACGAAAATCGACCCATTGGGTCTACACCATTGCCTGAAGTGGATGAGGTGTATTCCCATTATACTAAGCGTGGAAAAGGCCGTGGCCCTATTCGTGGTCGTGGTCGTGGCCGTGGACAAGGAAAAAAAATTCCTGGTGTTAATCACCCCCCAAAGAAAAATAACCACCAAAAGTGGAAAGGGAAAGACGAGAAGCCAAAGGCAAACGGTTCAGAAATCGAATGTTATCGTTGCGGTGGAAAAGAGCATTGGGTAAATATTTATCGTGTACCAAGACATTTGGTTGAACTTTATCAAGCATCTCTAAAGAACAAAGGCCCTGAAGCTAATTTTGTCTCTGACAATGATTTTGACATCACTTACTTGGATGTGGCAGACTTCTTTGAGCGCCCTGATGGGAAAATAGACCACTTGATCGGTGATGGATCCATGGTTAAAGAAGATTAAGTAGTCTGATTTTATTTTATTTTGCTTATTCGTATTAGTTAGCAAATAAACATCATGTAATTATCGTAGTTTACATGAGTAGTAGTTTTAATTAGTATGTAGAATTAGTATAATCTGTCATTGAATAAAGTTTGATAGCCAGGCGTGAATCCATGTTTGCTACTGTAATGCAGCAACATAAGTTAGTCTTTTCATCTCTACTAATCAGTGCTAAACGACAAATAAAAATAACTATTATTCGTTAATTAAGAGCATAACGGTCTAACCTTCAACTTCTCCTTCAATTGTTTCAAGAGCATCATATTTGTAAAGTGCATGCCTTCTGAAAACACACTCTGTACCAACATATATTGGTCCTTGTATACCATCTAAGCCTTTCATGTTAATCTGTAAAGAATTTCAAGAAATTTTGTTTTCTAATCAAGTTGTTCAATCAAAGATTGTGCCTTACGAAATTTTTTTCTTTATCTCTGAAAATACTAATATTTATTCGTATATTTCTTTTTGTATGTCAACCTATGAGAAGCAAATATGGATATTCCACAAAGCAAACTTGGATCAAAGTTCAATTGTAAAAATATTTGTTTAATTGATTCATGTACGACACATATAATATTCAAAGAGAAGAAATATTTCTCTCATTTAAATATGTGTAAGGCAGATGTTACTACAATTTCTGGTAGTAGTAAATTAATTGAAGGCTCTGGAAGAGCTACTATAACTCTGCCTAAGGGAACAATACTTATCATAGAGAATGCAATGTTCTCCTCCAAGTCCAAGAGGAACTTGTTGAGTTTTAAAAATATCTGTCGAAATGGATATCATATTGAGACAATGTCACACCTCCTTTTTCCACCCCCGCGAGGAGCGTAGGAGTTTTTCCAATTAAAGGACAATCAAAACGGGATTTATTTGTTTATTTCAGAGTCGCCACTTGGAAGATTTAGGGTGTCCCAAGTCACCAATTTTAATCCCGAATCGAGGAAAAGAATGACTCTGTATTACAGTCTGCGAACTAGAAATCCGGATAAGGAATTCTGTTAACCCGGGAGAAGGTGTTAGGCATTCCCGAGTTCCGTGGTTCTAACACGGTCGCTCAACTATCATATTCGGCTTGTTTATCTGATTTATACATGTTGAACCTATGTACGAATTTTAACTTTTTACCGCTTTCATAATTATTATTATTTTTATCAAAAATTGCAACATCGTGGAAACACATCACGAACCACGTCACATCAATGCACCTGTGGTTGTTGGCATATTTCAACTCTGTTGAGATTTGGATTTGGGTCACATAAATGTGCACCCGAGTTTAAGAATCCAACATTATTAAATACGCGCCTAAAGCGACTAGCGTATCATTGTTTTGGGTAGGGCCGTGAAATTTGCTAAACAGCCCGTCCCGGAATCTAAGCAATTTTAAAGCAAATATTTACTGAGGGCCCCGCAATTTTGTATTTTTATTCGGCGAGACTCATCTCATTCTTATTTTTAAAAGGAATTTGCAACGTCATGGACACGCATCTCGAACTACATCACAATCAATGTACCCGTGATTAGAGACACATTTCGACTCCGTTGAGATTTGGGTTTGGGTCACATAAATGTACACCCGAGTTTAAGAATGTAAGATTTATTAAAATGCGCGCCTAAAGCGATTAGCGTATTATTATTTTTTTGGGTAAGGTCGTGGAGTTCGCTAAGCGGCCTGTCCCGAGTTTTAAGTAATTAACACATACATTTTTTGTGAGGGCCCCGCAATCTATGCATTTTATTTGGCGAGGCTCGTCTCATTTTTATTTAAAAGGATAAACCTACAGCGACTACATTTTTCTATTAAATTTGTCTCTAAAAATAAAAAGAAAATCTCCCGATTAATTACATGCTTAAACAAACGTAACTTATTAGTTATTAGTTTGTGGTTAATGCAAATGGAAAATTGCAATCGAGCTTGTACCAAGAAGGATTTCTTTTATTCTATATTCTATCATTTACTAACACTAGAACATGAGATAGATACATAATAATATCGAAACAAATTAATTATTCTTTGATTAATTTAAACTAGCATTATTAGATGAAGAAGTTATACATGCGCAACTCCATTACTCATTAATCAGTCAACTACATTTTATACAAAGAAAAGAAAATTCTATTCAAACACAAATCTAAACAGGAGGAATTCAACAGGAACAGAGCCGGATTAATATTTCATTTCGCTTCAAGCCGAGAGTGTACAAATGTGTGTAGACACTTGATTTTTGACCCTCCCCGAGAATTTTCACATTTTTTAGCATAAATATGTAATTTAGGTCTAATATAGCTATTTTGACTATTTTTGCTTTATTTCATTGCAAAAAGAAAAATTACAAAAAATATATATATAAATTTTTAGTTTATATATTTCTCATAAACTTGAAAAATACAAAAAAATAGTACCTTATTTTGTACTTTACATAATTTTGAAAATTACCAAAAAAAAATATAGTTCTATTAATGTTTTGTAGTCATTTTAAATTTTGAAAAATACAAAAATGTTACTTTATATTTTATCTTTATATAAAAACGGAAATTACAAAAATAGTTTTATTAATATTTTGTAGCTATTTTAATCTCGAAAAAAAAAATATTAAAAAATAATAATATAGTTTTGTTTTAAATAATTAGTCTTATTTTAGTAGCTATTTTGCCTACATAATCAGTTGAGCAACGTCGTGTTCCTATTTCTCGGGTCCGGGCGAAAGAATAATATTCGGGTTCAAACTACCCGGTTTTAGGCCTAATTTCGGACCTAGCCC